TATGCTTGCTTCAGAAAATGAATTTGGGAGGATTTCATCCTTTTCTATGCTTTGGAATAGTTTGAGTAGGATGGGTGTCTCTGAACATTCTGTAGAATTCTCCAGTGAAACCACCTTGGCCAGGGCTTGTTTTTGTCGGTAGTTTTCTGTGACCTGTTCAATTTTTTCTTTTGTTATGGATCTATTTAAAATTTCCACCTCAGTCCGTGTTAGTTTAGGTAAGTAGTATGTTTCTAGAAATCGATTTCTTGTAAATTTTCAAATTTGTTGGATTATAGTTTTTCATAGTATCCTGATATTATCCTTTTAATTTCTGTTGGTTCTGTTGTGCAGTTGCCCAATTAGTTTCTTATTCGTGTTATTTGTATTCTCTCCCTCTCTTCTGTTGTGACATTTCCCAGTGGCTTGTCAATTTATCTTTTCAAAAAACCTACTTCTAGTCTTGTTGATTTTTTCCATTGTCTACTTTGCTTCATTTATTTCTGCTTGAATCTTTATTATTTCTTTTCTTCTGATAGGCTTTTATTGCTGCTCTTTTACTAATGGTTGGAAATTACGGGTTAAGATGTTGATTTTGGCTCTTTTTTGATGTATGCATTTATTGCTATAATTTGACCTCTCATCACTGCTTTTGCTAGCATCCCAAAGGTTTTGGTATTTTGTGCTTTCATTCTGGTTTGATTCAGGGAATTTTTAAACTTTCATCTTTTATTTCTTCTATTACCCAGTCATTTTCAAGGAGAGTGTTATTCAGTTTTCATGTGTTTGTTCTTTTCCACTGATCTTCCTATCGTTGATTTCTAATTTTGTATCATTGTGATTGAGAAGATGCTTTGCAGTATTTCAATGTTTGTAAATTTACTAAGGCTTACTTTGTGTCCTAACATATGGTCTATCCTGGAGAATGTTCCAAGTGCACTGGAAAAGAATGTATATTGTGCTGTTTTTGGGTGAAGTGCTCTGTAGATGTCTATAAGGTGAAGCTGGTGAATTGTATTGTTTAGTTCTTCTGTGTCTCTGTTGAGTTTTTTTCCCCAATTGTTCTATCTTTGATTGAAAGTGGTGTACTAAAGTTTCCTACTGTGACTGTGGAGGCTGGCGGTTCAAAGCCACCAGCCACTCCTCGGAAGGAAGGTTGGGCAATCCTACTTCCGTAGTGATACTGCCTTGGAAACCCAAGGAGGGGTCGCTATGAGTTGGGGCTGACTCGATGGCACATAACAACAACAACAACAACACTGTGACTGTGGAGTTGTCTATTTGTCTTTTTAATTCTCATTCATGTATTTTGGGGCTCTTCACTGGGTGCATAGATATTTATTATGGTTATATCCTCTTGTTCAATCGATCCTTTAATCATTATATAATGTCTTTCCTTGTCTCTTATGTGTTTTTTGTTTTGAAGTAAATTTTATCAGAAATTAATATTTCATAAAAAGAGCACTCCTGCTCTTTTATGGTTCCTATTTGATTGATATATCTTTTTCCAAACTTTGAGTTTTAGTCTATTTTTGTCTTTGTCTCTAAGGTGTGTCTCTTGTAGACAGCATATTGATGGGTTATGTTTTCTTATCCAGTCTGCAACTCTCCATCTCGAGTGGTGCATTTAAACCACTGACATTCAGTGTAATTATAGACAAGTATGAATTTGCTGCTGTCATTTTGTATGTTTTTTCGTGGTGTTACTGATTTCCTTGTTCCATATAATTTTCTGTGCTGAGCTTGTTTTATTTATGAATCATGTTATCACTTCCTTTGTTGCTACTTTTTAGTATTTGCTGAGTATTTGTGCTTGTCCTCTTTTTCATTATGATGTGAAGGTTTACCATTTTTATTTGAGGTTACCCTGTGATTTATAATTGTCTCCCCAAGTTTAAAACAGTCTGTTCTATCTTGCAATTGTCCTGACTTTCTCACCATTTATAAGTTCTGTAACTATGCTAGTTTTCTTCCTTCTTTTTGGTTAGTAGTTGTCCTAATTTGTCAACTGATGTCTCTGGTTTCCTGTTTACAATTTTGTAGGTTTATTTACTTTAGATACTTCCATAACTGGGTTGGTTTCTGGGTTATGTCATCATCTATGTTAATGGTTGGTTGTTGTTTGCTGTTGCTGGTTCTCTGTCCAAAGGATTCCCTTTAGCATCTCTTGTAAGGTTGGTCTAGTTTCAACAAATTCCTTTAATTTCTGCTTATCTGGAAATGTTCTAATTTCACCATCATATCTGAGGGGCAATTTTGCTGGGTATATAATTCTTGGTTGGAAATTTTTTTCTTTCAGGGTTTTATATACCCCATCCCAATGTCTTCTCACCTGCATGGTTTCTGCCAAGCAATCTGAGCTTAGTCTTATTGGTTGCCCCTTGCCAGTAACTTTTTGTTTTTCCCATGCTGCTTTCAGGATTCTTTCTTTGTCTTTGATTTTGGTGGGTTTGATGATGATGTGTCTTGGTGATTTTCTTTTTGAGTCTATCCTGTTTCGGGTTCACTAGACTTCTTAAATGGATATTTTCTTGTGTTTCATCATATCGGGGAAATTCTCTTTCAACAAACCTTTGAAAATTTTCTCAGTGGTTTTATTTGTCTCTTCCTGTTCGGGAATTCCAATTACATGTAGGTTATTCCTTTTGATGGTATCACACACATGACCTTAGGCTGTCTTCATTTTGTTTTGATCTTTTTTCTGATTGATCCCTTTCCAAAGTAGTGAGGTATTTGTCTTTAATCTCATTAATTCTATCTTCCATTGATTCAATTCTACTCCTTTGCCTGTTAATGTGTTATCTATTTCTGAGAATGTAGTATTAATCTTCTGGATTTCTATCTGTAGATTTTGAATCATTTCTAATTTTTCATTTATTTTGTCATTTTGTTGTTTTCCAAAATTGTTCTAGGGTTTTGTCTGTGTTTTCCTCAATTTTGTCAGTGATTCCCTAGTTCTGTCTCTCAATCCATTTAAGATACCTAAATATGATTCTTTTGAATTCCTTATCAGGGAGCTCCAAAGCTGCTTCTTCCTTAGGGATGTGTTCAGGGTCTGTATCCTGGTCCCTTGTTTCTACTGCTTTATCTTGCTTCTTTGTGTGGACTGTGGTCTGTTGTCTCTAAGACATTGTGATGTTGTTGTATTTATATTTAATTGGTGACTGTATGTTGCAGTGATTTGCCCAAGATTTTTGTTTTCTTTGGATGTATCTGAGTGAGCAGGGTACTGTGCTCCTGTATTTGCTAGCTGGCAGCACTTGTGCACTCACCACCTATCTCCTTTCCAGTCGTAAGCCTCCCATATGTCTGTGCTGTCTCTGGCAAGCAGAGCCTATTCTTAGGTCCCTGGAATCTTAATGAGAATGCTGTCACTTTCAATATTCAAAATGGCTGCCGCTTGTAAACATTTAAAATGGCTGTGCCCACCAGAGAGCCAGAAGTCCACAGCTCAGTTTGTCTCCTCCTTTGCTGTTTCCCTTTTCAGTCATCAGCTAGCTGTGCATTAGTCCATGGAGCCCTTGGTGAGCAGGGCCAGTTTTTAGGTTAATTCTCAGATCCTAACACCACTTGGAAATATTCAGGCTATCTGTGCCGTCAGGACAGCTGACATTCTGCAGTTCCATTTGTCTCCTTACTCACTGTTTTCATTTAGGTTCTTCTACTAGTTGGCATTTAATCAACTTCTCTATCCTTCCTTTCATAGCTCAGGGTTCTAGGATTATCTTTTGTATCTGTGTCAACTGGTTTCTCTTTTCTTTGTTGAAGAGGGTCTGTGTAGCTTGTCTGTCTATTCTGCCATCTTACTGGAAGTCTCTGTTGTCTGATTTCTTGACTTCTGCTTCCACTGGTGTTGATCATGGAACCAAATAATATGAAATCTTTGACAACTTATTTTCTTTTCTGCATTTATCTTGATGCTACTTATTGGTCCAGTTGTGAGGATTTTTTCATTTTATGTTGCAATGTAATCCATACTGCAGACTGTAGTCTTTAATCTTCATCTATAAATGATTCGAAGTCTTCTTCACTGTCAGCAAGCAAAGTTGTGTCATCTGTGTATCATAGGTTGTTAATGAGTTTTCCTCCAATTCTGATGCCATACTTTTCTTCATATAGTTCAGCTTTTCGGATTAGTTGCTCAGCATACAGATTGAATATGGCAAAAGGATACAACTCTGCCAGGGTTCCTAGTAGGTGTTTGATAAGATTTATGTATACTTTTTATTAAATATTAAAAATATTATTTTATTTTTTGACTTGTTGATCTCTAATCCTGCCCTACCATTAGTAACAGGGAGCTCTGGTGGTGTAACAGTTTAAGCACTCAGCTGCTAATGAAAAGGTTGGTGGTTCAAACCCACCTAGCAGCTAGAAAACCCTATGAGGCAGTTCTACTCTGTCATATAAAGTAGCTATGAGTTGGAATGACTCAATTGCACCTAACAATCCTACTCTATCTTTAGTGATAGTGACAATGTCTTGGTACAACAATTTCCATTTCTTTCCATCTATTAATATTAATCTCTTTGCAACAGTTTTCCATCTCTTCCATTCTGTCTTGTAATCTAACGTCACAAAGCTTTTCTGATTTCTTATTCTCAAAATCAACCTAAGCTTTGTAGTTTTTACTTTAACACTGAAATTACACAGTCAGTAAGAATGAGGCTGACACTACCTAGAAAATAAATGATGTGTACCTGGTACACATTTTGTACCCTGGCTGTTGCAAACAGTTAAGTGCTCTGCTGTTCACTGTAAGTTAGGATGTCTGAGTTCACCTAGACTCTCTTTAGAAGAAGGGCCTGGTGATTTAGTTCTAAAACATCAGCCACTGAAAACCCTAAGGAGCACAGTCCTACTCTGATACACATGGGTTGCCATGAGTTGGAGTGGACCCCATAGCAACTGGTGTACATGCTTTAAGGTTCTGTACTTTTCATTAAAACTTAAAATAAGCATATTTCCAAATAGGATTTTTTTAAAAACATTTTAGCAATAAAACCAAAGTTGATTCCAACCTTTTGAGACATAAACACAAGCATGAGGATTCTGAGTGGAAACAAATCCATATTCCAAGAGCAGGCGGTGGTTATCATGGGGGCCATAGCAGATGAACACCTCTTCATGTTTTCTGCAACTTGAAGCTGCTCTAATTTCATAACAGCGAGTTTCCTCATTAAATGCTGCTTTTACCTACAAAGGAAAATTTTTTAAGATCTTTTTTATGTGTGAAAATGCAAAGCTGACTACCTTACTGTATTGATTTAAGCCAGATGCAGCTCTCCAATGCTCATCAATGAACTTAACGATATATGGGAAAAAATGAACAAACATGTTAACTCTGAAATGCAGCCTTTGAGGTACATGGTTGTGGCTGATACAATTGCATGGATTTTGGGGTAATGCTGTTAATTATGAGGTTCTTTGGTGGCACAGTGGTAGAGCAGCTGGCTAATTACTGAAAGGTCAGTGGTTCAAACCCACCACCTACTCTTAAAGAGAACAATATGGCACTCTGCTTCCGTAAAGATTACATACAACCTTGGGACCTCTGTGGGGCAGTTTCTACTCTGTCCTGTAGGGGCACTATGAGTCAGAATCAACTCCATGGCAATGGGTTTTTTATGGGGTGCTAAGACATCTGACTGCTAACCAGAAGGTTAATAGTTCAAACCTACCAGCTACTCCATAGAACAAGACTAGGCAATCTACTTCTGTTAAGATTTACTGCCTCAGAAACCCAATGGGGGTCACTATGAGTCAGAATCATCTCAATGGCAGTAGGGTTTTTCTTTTTTAAACACATGGAGAAAAGCACCAAGAAGGCCAAACTGCTCCCTACACTAAAGATGGGTCCAAGTATTGCATTCCCCTTGATAAGCAGCAAAATCCCAGCCCTGATGAAAATGAGTAACAGGCTGTGTGATGGATGTATGTCAACTTGGCTGGACTATGATTCTAAGTGGTTTAAACAGTTGTGATATAGTCATTCCCTATGATAAGATCTGATGTAATATAATCGCTTCCATGATGATATATTCATAGAGCAGCCACTCAGTTGAAAGGGAGTTTCCTTAGGGGTATGGCCTACTTCCTATATATATATATATATATATATATATATATATATATATATATATACACACACACACACACAAACACACATGTGTGTGTATGTGTATGACAGGAACATTCTCTTTCTGCTGGATCTGGATCCTCCATCTAGCTTATCATCATCTGCTTCTTGGAGCTGAACCACTGGCCTGCCAACAATCTGCCATTCTACCTGACGATCTTGGATTCAGCCAGCAGCCTGATATACTACCTACCAATCTTGGATCTATCAGCCCCTGTAGCTGCATGAGTCAGAAAAGCCTCGTTTGATATTTGACACATGAACTTGGAACATACCAGCCTCTAGAACTGAGTGAGCCACTTCCCTGAGATAAATTTTTCCCCCTCTCTCTCTCTATGCAAATACATACACACACACGCACGTGTGTGTGTGTATATATATATACATATATATATGTATACACATATGTATACAGATATACACATAGGCTTCACAGGTTTTTCTTCTCTAGAGAACCAGGCCTAAGACATAGGCTGACATTCCTGTCTGGGGTGACAGTTCTGCAGCATCAACAACAGATGAGGAGTTTCAGGCAAAAGCCATGAGTCTGAAATCTTTTTCTAGAGTTTAAATTGTTTAGGCTTTCCCACCAACATCCAGTCTGTCCCAAGTTGTTCTTTGGTTCTGGGTATTTTTTTTAAAACATTCTTTAGGAACGTAAAAGTCATTGTTATCCCAGAGCCTTGAGCCAAATGCCATAATCTGTCATCTCCCCCCTTTCCTATACTATAAAATCATTGGTTTGCAACATAAATGCATCAATAGCCCCAAAAGAAACAGTCATGCCACTGGGGACTGACAAGGCCCTATGTCCTAGACCTTTTCACACTGTACACCCCCGATAGTTACTTTGTCATTATCACCCAAAGAAACACTTACCTAACATTAGTCTCCTTTGATTAACATCATTAGAAACACATCTTTCTACAAAAGTAACACCAGATAGGCAAGGGCCTAAGAAAGCACAGTACGGTCCTCCCTACCCTCTCCTCTCTCTGGCATGTGTTCTGAGTAGGTGTCATCAATTTTATCACAGTGGCAAAATTTTGTCTTTGTTTGGTCATCTGAGGAAGAAAGAGGGAAGAGCACGACATGGGAGTGGGGTCCTAGCCAATGTGGTCCACAGTCTAGCCCAAGTGGGTGATAGGTAAGCTAAGATACAGATTCACCCTTGCCCTGGAAGCTAGGCCTTTACCCACATGCAATCATCTCCCCTGCATGCCACATTGTGCAATGGGCTGGAGAAAACAGAATCAGTGACTGCCTCTAACGGGGAATTCTTTCATAATTTTCAAGAGTCTTTTCCCCTACAAATATTCATCTTTTCAGCAAATATTTACTGAGCACCTACCATATTCCCATTTCCTAGTGATCGTCTAAAGATTTCTGCTCTACCAGGATGAGTTCCTTGACTCTTCCCTTTCCTTTTCCATTTTATTTTGAAAATCATCCTTATTTGTTTGTTTTCTCTGTAAGACCCAGAAGGGGAAGCTGGGAGAAAAAATCTAGTAAGTCTTCTCAGACTGTTGCTCAATTTTGTGTTAGCAAAGTTACACGGGGCACCCATGAAAAAGGAACCTACTTAATCAGTATTTACCATGACCTGGGTAAGGGGCATATCCAGCGATGACTATCATAAAGCTAATCCAGAATGGCTTGCAAACACAGAATATCAACTTACAACAGGTTGGTCTAACAGGTTCACCTAAAGCCAGCTATGCCTGGTTTTGTTCACAAGACATTCCTGGTTCCACATATTTGAGTTCTTCCTATCCAAACAGAACATGCTCACCTGGACTTGTGGACTATGATTTAGCAGATCCAGGTACGGGGCAAGAGCACACATGTCCGGCTCTGCAGAGAAGCACCCATGCTGCCTGTGCCTCAGGTACACAGCTCTGGTGTTAACAGTGCACCAGGCCCACAGGAGGGCGCTGTAGGTGAAGATGCTTTCAACTGCCTCTGAGAAGAGAGGCTGAAGGGAGCAGAAAAAGTCTTTTGAGGTCGTGAAAAACTCCTGAACATGGGTCCTTTGCTCCCGGGCCTTGGCTATTAAAGGCCTGGGAAAAAGATTTACCACTTCTGGTTCCAAACAAACAGGGCAGGTGTAGGCCTTGGGTAAAGTGTCTAGGTAAGGCTTCCAGGAAGACTGGTCCCCAACATGCTTTTCTGAGACTAGAAAGGTACACAGAGCCAGCAGAGGAGACGGAGGTGGCTTCCACCTGGTAAAATTAAACAGGTTAAAGGAATTACTGTTACTCACAATATGGAATAAGCTAAATTTATAAATACCCTGTGGTTTGTTTTTGAACCTGAGGGACTGTACTCAAACTGTCAATCAGAGTTGACTTAAGGGTCCCTCCTCAGCCTGGACTCTCTGAAGCACACCCCACTGCAAGTGTTCTGAGCCAAGTCCTACTGAGAAGAGAAGAATTAAATCACCAAATGAAGTTCTAGTTCTGTTTATGAGCTCCCCTTTGCAAAAACTTCCCAGCGTCCACCTTAGTTTTCCAGTTTGAACACTTTTACTGCAAGTCCACTTGTATCACATAGATAAGACCATAAAAATTGGTAGAGAGAACCTAGACCTACATCATACAATACAGGAGCCACGAGCTAAACCCATTACTGCCAAGTTGATTCTGAGTCACGGCAACCCCATGTGTTGCAGAGCAGAACTACTCCATAGGGTTTTCTAGCCATAGTAGTTGCAGAAGCAGAGTGCCAAGCCTTTCTCTTGTGGCATCACTAGCTGGGTTCCAAATGGCCAATCTTTAGATTAGTAGTTGAGTACAAACCACTTGTGCCACCTAGGGACCTAGCTACAAGCTACATGTGGCTATGTTAATTTTAACTCATAAAAATTAAACAATATTTAAAATTCCTCAGTCACACAAGACACATGTCAAGTACTCAACAGCCACTATACTATGGCTACTATACTGTACAATGCAAAATAAAACATTCCCATCATTGCAGAAAGTTCAATTGGATGTCACTAACCTAGACCAAAAACTGAATATGCTATTACATGCTTTTAAAGGTTTAATTTCTTAATTTACCCTGCTTGTCTGAAAAGTATATGCTACTTTTTTTTTTTGGCTTGCATAGTTACCAATAAAAATATATCATGTTGCATGGAAGTATTTAGGAAATACTTCAAAATCTGGATTCATCTATTGCTCAACATGCTACACAAAATTTCAGAATCATACAGAAAATGTGAATTTTAAGAGTATCCATGACTTTACCCAAACCTAGAAGAATACACCTGCCCTCTTCCAAAAACATGCCAAAGTAGAAAAAAAAACAGAACTTACCTTTAGATTAAAAAACAAACTAGACTATCTGTCAACCCTCATAATTTAGAAATCCTTCTGTTGAGGACCTCGCTCACTCTGTCCTCAGAAAGCCTCCAAAACAAAGGTCCACCATAACATGAACCAGAAAATACTCTTCATTCCCTCCTTGGCCTCCTCTCCTTTATGCTAAGGAGAGCTAAGTCTTTCATAAGATCAGCAAGTCTTCATTTGAAGAAGAATTCAAGCAAGTACATGTAAGGGTAAAAACAAAAGAGAAAGTAAGACCTACTGTCAAGACCTACTCTGATGGTGGAGAGGCTGCGATGAGTAAAGGCAGTGTGCCTGTGATTTACATGTATCATCTCCCTTAAGCCTCATTCTCAAATAACTGATGGGTCAGGACTCAAGCCACACCCCCAACAGCCTAGAAAAACCTTAAAAATTAAGCTTACAATGAATTAATAACAAACTTCATGGAAAACAATAAATCTGTCAAATAATTTGAGATATTTATTAGTTATGCAAATAGGCTGGGTCCTAATGGACTATGTCTTAGATGACACACTGACCAATGATGAAGACCTTAAAAGACAAGCATAGCCACCATATGAGCACATGTGCAGTCACTTACTTAGTAATGTATGCTCCTAAGTAGCTTGTAATCACTGTGTCTGTGGTCAGCAGGCAACTCTCAGGCAACGAAATAATCATTTGCCCCACCTTACCAAAAAGAAAGGAAGGTTTAGAATGTCTGTGCTTTGGAATGACCTACAAGTATGACTTTTGTAAAATCATTGATTGCACCATTATCTATCAAGATTCCATTACATCCAACAACAGACCAACAGAGTGCCCACAAGTGAACTCACTCCAGAGTCCCTGAGTCAGCAGAACAGGCAAGCTCACTCCAATGCCAGGTACCACACTTGAGAGGTTAATAATGTGACCCACCTCCCGTCAACCTTTCTCCTGGAAGGAATGGAAGACAGTTTTACAACTTAAATCATATCATCCCTCCACTTCCTTATGCCAGGAAATATTGCTCCTTATGGAAAACAGGTAAAAACCACCAAAAATTTATTCTAACCAGTGAAATCCAGGTAACCAGTAGGCAAAAGCCTACTCTTTACATCACCTGTAACTAGCCACCTAGCTAAAGAAAGGAGAGCCCACTCAGCACAGCAAGAATCTAATTTTATCACTTGTAAAAGTTTAGCTCTGAGTTTCTCATTGGAACACAGAAATAATAATTAAATGGAAAGTAACAGATACTAGAATCAAATAAAGCACTAAGAAGCTAGACATAAGATCGTGCTTTCATTGTAACTGGCATCTAAAATTGGCTAATAACCTCCACTCCAATAGCAGATCTTCAGGGTTCAATTTCTGTATTCCTCATTGGTAAAGTGACATTAAACTGGTGATCACTGCAGTCCCTTCCAGCTCCAAAATCCCATGACTTTCTGATTAAAATAATACAAAAAGTCACTCAATGGAAATGCTCTGTATCTCGATTGGGGGGTACACCTTTGTCATCAAAACATCAAACTGTGCGTTTCACTCTATGTATAAAAATGTCTCAGCTAAAACAAAACAAAACCACATCTTAAAACACCCATGAAGCCATTCCCAATTATCAACAAAAACTGCTGTGTGTGCTGTCAAGTTCTTAATCGGCTAGCATATCTTATATCAGTAATTAAATGAGATACAAAATTAAAAAAATAAATAAAGGAAAACTGAAGGAATTAACTTGAGAAATTAACTTTAGCATTTTATAAAAGATTTTTTTTTTTTTTATTAGATATCCTTTAAATCACACAGAAGAAATGAAGAGACCTTGGAGGTTGTCTGTCATCTTCCTCCTCGTTTAAGAGCGGATGAAACAGAAGCCGAGAGGAAAGCAGCCACGTGGGTCCCCAGCTAGTTGAGGCAGTGCTGGGCCTGGCTCCCCGGCCACTGCCAGCTCAGGGCTCCACTTGCCGCACCGTGCACAGCCTCTCAGAGGAGAGAAACTCCCTAGGCACATTTAATATTACCTGATTCACAAAGTTTGCTGTGACAGAGACTGCTGGTTGTCTGCTGCTGCAACATGTCTCCTCTCCTCATTAAGCAAGGGCACAGTGCCAGGGAAAGGATGGCATGTGCCCCTCCCTGCAGTCACCCATGGCTGTGGACCTGATTTCTGGCCATTGAAATGCAGGCAGGAGTTTCCTTAAAGGGAGGAAACCTGCCCTTCTTCACCTACCCCAGCCTGCTGCTGCTGTTTCAAGAGCACCTAGACCTGAGGGTGTGCTGCGTCCTGTAGGAATGTGATGGAGGGCTGCAAGGAGCTTGGAACTCCAATGACCACACCAGCCAGAGTCTGCCTACTCCTAAGAGGAAAATAATTTCCACTCTGCTTAAGCTCTGTTATTTTGGGTTTGCCTTTCATATAGAGCAAAAGTTAATCATAACTGATAGGACTATATTTGAACATATCTGCTAGGTAAGTAAGAAATGTTAGTGTGTCAAAATGTTTTAAAAAACATTTAAGTGTTTTTAAAACATTTTTAACCACAAAATCAAAGTGGAAAAATTATCAATAAATTTAAAAGATAAAGGAGAAGTTCTGACCTGCAGGCATGTTTTGCTCATCAACCCTCTTCCTGTACCTAGGAAAGCAAAGAAAGAAAAAGGGTAAATCCTAATGTGCAGTCAAGTCCCTAGAGAGATCAGTCTGGATTTTTTAAAAAAATGTAAATGAATTTCGAAACTACACAAAGCTGAAGCTGAGTTTCTCTCAACCTTTGACTCCCAAGGCAAAACAAGGCATCAGGAAGCTACTTTGGGAAATGTCACTATCCCTTGTGGCTTTATAACCCTTGTAGGATGCCATATAGGGACAGCAGTGGTTCAGTGGCAGAATTCTTGCCTTCCATGCAGGAAACCCAGGTTCGATTCCCAGCCAATGTACCTAATGCCCAGCCACCACCTGTCTGTCAGTGGAGGCTTGTTTGTTGCTGTGATGCTGAACAAGTTTCAGCCCAGCTTCTAGACTAAGATACAATAGGAAGAAAGGCCTGATCATCTGCTCCCAAATATCGGCCAATTAAAATCCTATGAACCCAAAGGTCTATTGCAAAACTTATCATGGAGATGGACAGCATTTCATTCTATTAGGGTCACCATGAGTTGGAAGCATACTCCATGGTAGCTAACAATAGGAAGAGGGTGGCCTACAGACCACCATGAAGTGGATGCAGATCTGTGCTGGGCCTCTTATAAGAATCCTCTTGCTGGGACTTCGTCCCTCAAGCAGAAGGCCTACTCCTAATTCCTACCCAACCTCAGAGACACTTTTATCCCTACTAAACCTATCTTTCCCTAACAAGGATCTTAGAGAGCCCTGTGATTGACCAGTAAATCCCACTCCAGGTCCCAGAAAGCCTATGAACTGCATCCTCTTCTCCCTGACCAGATAACCCAACAGATGGGCTCTGCCTTGATATGGTGAGTATGGTAGGAGAATCTATAGATCCAGGACCATCTGCTGCCTGTGAGCAAAGCTTTTGGGGGTGACCAGTCACAACAGTAACTTCACCACCTACTCTTAGCCCACCAACTTCCTAAAGTTGATCACTCCACGCCTAGACTCCCCTCCCAGGACACAGTCAGATGGACTCTCAGCAGATACTCAGATCCAGCATTTCCAGCGTGCACAGTTATTATAGGACCTAAGAGGCCTAGAGCTTAAAACAGTAATCTTTTCAAATTCATAGTTCTTTATCTTTCTTCTCTTAACTGGGAGGGAATATCATTCTGAAAAGACCTGGGGAACTCCTCAGTCAGATGCCTGGCTGGTTGGATCTGATGTGTCCTCCCACTTGTGTTCCCATCCAGGAGCATGCTGGCTGCATGGACAAATGATTTTGGTTTTAAGAACTTATTTCATTTATTCTTTGCATCCCATGGTGGAGTTAATCATCCCTGTGGGCTAGAACCCTTCTTAGGACCAATTACTAATGGGGAATTTTTTTTCTATGGGGTCATCCTTCAAAAGATGCACATGCTAATCCACAGGGAAATTTCTCTCCAGATATATATGAATAGAACCTGGCATAAGGAATAAATTTGGAAGAGCGTTTCTTCCAATATTTCTACAATATACAGTTCAATATAAAAGAACATATCATGGTAAATCTGCACTTACAATCATTTTTCATTTTTTTTACTGGGTCAACTAAACCCGGTAAAAAGGGGCCAGTAGCGCCTTATAAAAGTAAAGCTTATTACAAACTTCTCACTGCCTTCAAAAGTCTGCTATCTTAAATTTGCTGGGGAGGCCCGGATTTGGACAATTCTTTTGGTACTGACAGAAGACACACACAGGTCAGTTTCAAGGAAGAGATCAGGTGAGAGCCTAAAGACAGAATCTGCTTGCCACATGAGTCTTGCCTTTCCCCTCCCCAAACCAAGTTTAATTTCCTCAGAGTTTTAAAGATTTTGACCGAACACCAAAATGTCCCCTCTCATTAAAAACTGAGAATTTATAAAGCACTAAGGGGAGGTTCCTTGCCTCTAGAATATAGTCAACAGTCTGTGATCAAAGACCAATCACTCAGCTTTAGCACTTCCACAACCATGAATCTGGAGTTAGGCCCGGTGAATTGTCTCCATTGTTCAAATCAGAAACTCTTTCTTGGTCCAAACTATAAACAGGTGATTTACTTTCAGACAGTCCATCTAAACCATATGCCAATTCCTGCTTGATCACCACAAGCCTGTCCTTAAGCCAAAGTGAAACCCCCGAAGTAGTCAGGCCTGTGGCACAGCTAGTCTATTCCTGACAAGCTACTTTAATTCATTTCTAGGATAAGATGAAGTTAATAAATATTATAGCTCCAAGGCAGGAAGCCTGACACACAACAGTAGAAGCTGTACACCCAGAGAGAAGCAGTCCCCACCAGGAAGAATCTCCTGTGCTTTCCTATCACCTGTGCCCACATGTCTCTCATGTGAGAAAGGTCATGAAAATCAAATATCAGACTTTACCTGGAAAACGAGCAGGTATTAAATTTGTATCTTCAAACTTCTTATGTTTCAGCCACTTCTTAAGCTCTATAAATTCAGACCTGTAGCTCTCATTCACTAATCAGGAGAGGAGAGAACAAACAAATCAGGAGAGGAAAGAATTGTTATGGTTAATATTATTTCTCAACTTGGCTAAGCCAGGATTCCCAATATTGTGTGGTTGTTTTCTATTTTGTGATTTGGTGTATCTATCCTCCATTCCGTGACATCGTATAACTATCCTTTTTTATGTGCTGTAAATCCTAATCTCTATATGTTAATGAGGCAGGATTAGTGTAGGGTGTATCTTGAGTGATAGCCTTAACAAGTCCTTACTCAAATACTATCCTTACTCAAGTCCTGCCATTACTAAAACCATTCCCTTAATCAAGTCTCACCCCTACTCAAGTCACACCCTTACTCTGATGTAAGGGGATTTACTTGGTGTGTGACCTGCATTTTACATAGATAGATAGATAAGATGTTCTAGCAAGGTTCTCTCTAGCTCTGGAATCTGGCTTATCATCTGTCTAGTTCCTGGGAGCAGAGATAGTAGCCTGTTGTCTGACTTGCCAATTCTGGGATTTGCCAGTTTCTGCAGAACTGTGAGCCAACAGCATGTTGTCTGCTCTGCCAACTGTGGGTTCGTCAGCCCCTGCAACCACATGAGTCAGGAGAAGCCCTGAGCCTGACGCCTGACCTATGGATTTGGGACTTATCAGCCTCCGTAACTATATGAGCCATTTCCTTGAGAGAGTCAATCTATATACATACATACATACATATATATATATATATATATATATGTATATGTATATATGTGTATATATATATATATACATACACATTACATACATACATACACATATATACATACATACATATATATATAATTCACTGTCGTTGAGTTGGATCCAACTCATAGTGCCCCCTCCTGGGGTTTCCAAGGCGGTATCACTACGAAAGTAGATTGCCCCATCTTCTTTCACACATAGACACACACACATATGCACACACACATATACACACACACATAGGAGCAAGGCATTTTGACTGCTAATCAGAAGGCTGGTCATTAGCCACTCCTCAGAAGGAAGACTGAGCAATCTAGTTCTGTAGAGATACCGCCTCAGAAACCCAAGAAAGGGTTGCTATGAGTTGAATCGACTCGATGGCATAAGTTTCATTTGGTATACATATGTATATATGTATACGTATTTATAAACTCTGGTGGTATAGTGAATAAGGCAATCAGCTGCTAACCAGAGGTCAGTAGTTCAAACCCACCAACTGCTTTGCAGAAAGATGATGGGGTAATCTACTTCTGTAAAGATCTACAGCCTTGGAAACCCAATGGAGGTCACTATGAGTCAGAATTCACTTGATGCAGTGAGTTTAGTTTTTTGGTTTGGTGGTATAGGGATTATGACTTTGGCTGCTAACCTAAAGGTCAGTGGTTCTGAACCCACCAGCCACTCTGCAGAAGAAAGATGGGGCAGCCTGCTTCCATAAAGATTTACAGCCTTGGAAACACAATGGGGGTCATTATGAGTTAGAATCGACTTCATGATGGTGAGTTTTTGGTATATATAGAATACCAGACGACTTGTCTGTCAGTTGGTCGTACAGTGGTAGCTTTTATGTGATGCTGTGAGGCTGGAGGCTATGCCATCGGTATTTCAACTACCAGTGGAGTCACCAATGGTAAACAGGTTTCAGTGGTACTTCCACATGAAGACAGACTGGGAATAATGATGGGGGTATCAAACTGTCAAACAACTAGACACTGAAAACTCTATGAACAATAGAGAAACACTGTCTATTACTGGAAAATATTATAAATAGCTGTTTTGGTTACCTAGTGCCGCTTTGACAGGAATATACCACAAATGGGATGGCCTAAACAAACAGGAGTTTATTCTTACAATTCGGAGGCTTTAAGAGTTGATGCTTTTGAGTTGTGGTGCTGTCAAAGAATGTTGAAAGTACCATGGACTGCTAAAAGAACTAACAGATCTGTCCTGGAGGAACTGCACCCAAATGCTCCTTGGAAGCAAGAATGGCCAGACTTCGTCTCACCTATTTTGGTCATGTTGTAAGAAGGGACCATTCCCTGGAGAAGGATGTCAT